TCCTCTTCTTCATCGTCGTCCTCAACATCCTCATCGTCGTCCATCATCTGGTCCGCTGGGTGGTTGGGCGGACGGCCATGCACGCCGCGTCCAAAGAGGGAGAACAGGGCGGCCGTTGCGGCGGGGTTGTGGGCTGCATGCTGGCTGGGGTGGCTGTGGAGGGGATGATCGGGGTCAAAGGTTCCGGAGGAAGGGTGAAGAGTGGGAATGGAAAGGCCTTGGGACGGAGGGGTTTGAAATTGCGCGTGGTGGCCGAGGCGCGAGCGATTGGCGCGTTGGGGCGCCGGGGGTGGTTGTTGCGGTGCGTGGTGGGGGGTAGTGCTGTCGGAGGGGGGGGAGGTGTCTGGCGCGGGGTGTCGACGGAGGAGATGATGATGACGCGGCATGTTGGTTACAGTTTGGTAGTAGTCTATTGTGAATTGGCCATGGTTCGTGGGGTGATTGAGAGTGTTTGTTGATGCTGGATGGAGAATGGATGGAAAGCTTCATGGATGGACTGCCGTTATCAGTCACGTGTTTCTTATCGGGGTTGTACTATGTAATATACCTATGGGGTAAATGAGATGAGTTAGAAGCAGTTTAATTATTAGATCAGCTGATAGCTGAGATGTACAGAAAAAGTGTATGATACATAAGCAAGCACCTCGGAGCTTCGTCCGGTGGTGCACAAATTGTTCTATATGGCTTTTTTGGTGGTGAACTTCTGCCCGTATGTCACCCTCAGTGTTCAACGTCAACGAATCCGAGTTTCTCTCCCATCTTAATGCGCTGGCCCTTCTCAATGGTCCAGTTGAATCCTCCTTCGCGTCGGCCCTCCTCCCAGCCCGCGTCGAAGGACTTACGGGTGCCCACCGGCGCCTCGAACACCAACACGATTGAGCTACCAAGTTGGAATCCGCCCATTTCCTCACCACGCTGCAGAGGGTGACCTCCCAGGGTTTGGCTGGCGTGGAGGTAGGTAGCCTCAACGAATCCAGGGTACTGCTCACCACGCTTGGCCGCAGCGGCGGCTGCCATGTCGGCCGCGGTGTCCGTGGTAAGGCTATTAGTACGCAACTCTGCGTCAAAGTTCACCTTGATCGAGCCAACGTTCGTGGCACCCACGGGGGTATAACTGAAGAAACCCCAACGCCAGCGGCCCAGCAGCACGACGCGTTCATTGAGGGTGAAGAGACCCGGCAGGTGGCGCTGCAGGTACGGGGACACCGAGAACAGTTCACCCGCAAAGTGACGACGGCTCTGCACCACCCACGGCACTGGCGAATGGAAGCGGTGGTAGTCACCCGGAGCAAGGTAGATCACGACATAGTAGAGAGCATTGTTGGACGTCGGCTTCGGGGCGTACCACGGCGCACCATCCCCACGAGCCAGGTCAGCCTTGACTTCGGCTTCTGCAGAAGCCTTGTAAGGGGTGGACGCATCGATGGATGCAGAACGCTTCCGGGCGCCGCCCTGGTCTCCTGCAAGGAGCGTAGGGAGCGTATAGGAGATGCCATTCATCTTGGCAAACTCCGCGTCCGCCAGTACTTTGGCTTCGGTTCCCTGGGCCGGCTCACCCTGGTGGTCTGTGAACTTGTCCGTGTGGTCGGCATGGTTCGGGGTCGCGGCACCCAACAGGGCGTCCAAGCTGTATGTGACACCCTTGACCTGCTCGACTTCACCACGTTCAATCAATCCAAATTGTAAGATACGTCCATCGGAGGGTGCAAGAATAGCGCGAGTGTCAGGGTCCAGAGGCCGAACACCGGGTTTCAGTTTGCGATAGAAAAAGGCTGCCAGGTTGGGATAGGTGTGAAGGTCGGGTTCCTCAACCTCGTCTAGGTTGACACCAAAGACCCAAGAGTAAAGTTTAAATCCTGGAACACGGAAATAATAAGGCAGCTCAATCTCATTGAAGCGTCCCCAGAGCCGCGATATGGCCTTGAGCGGCAAGGTGGACATGATCTGGACCTGCCATGGTCCGCTCAGTCGGTGCTTTGGACGGGGAGGAGCTTTTTCGAAATCAAAAGTCTCGCCAGCAGCTTCTCTCTCTGCACGTTCACGTTCCGCCCGCTGGGCCTTGTAAAACTGCAGCAAGCCAAGCAAGCCGATACCGAGACCGACGGGGATGGGATACCATTCGACTTTGGTGTTTCGTAGGGCAAAACGGAGTCGGGAGCCAAAGGTGCTTCGAGGGGAAGGGTTTTCGTGGGAATTTTGATGCTGATATTGTTTCCAGGACTGCGAAAACTGCCTGGCACCGGTCTTACGACGACCAGTGGCCCGCAACGAGACTTCCATCAATCCTACCTTCTCCCCATGAGGGGAGACTGCGAACTTCCGGCAACACAGGGCAGAACGGCTGGTCAGGCACAGGGCCATAATGCGGTTCTACTCGGAGCAAGTCATCCCAGAGGGGGGAAGTAAAAGCAACAAGTGCGAAACACCTGCCCTCTGATCACGGAACCGGGATCAACCGAGGAAGCAGCTGTGATTGCAGGATGGGATCGTCAATCTTATGACAGTCAAAACACAAAAACCCGTGATCGGCATCGGTTTGCTGCTTCACCGCCGGGCAGAATCCCCTCCGTCCGCGCGGCTTCACTTGTCATTATGGTTGCCTGTGTCCGGTCGATCTATTTTCGATCTGTGTTGTTGGGTGCTTCGTTGTTCTGGACAGCTCGTGGGCGTGAATGTGATATCGTGTCTGACTGACAATTCTAGCTGTTCTGCTTCATATTGCTTGGCTCGTGTGGTTCTGGCCAGTCACATCTCAGGGTTGAAAAGGACACCGTCATCATTCCGGCTTCTTGTATACTTCTCCCGCGGTCCCTGGCTGTCTGGTTCATGCACATCAACTGCCACTTAGCACTTGTTCAGATTGTCATTCTGTGCACTCGACGTGACTGATCCAATTCCTATCAGTTACTTCTTATATACTCTGCTGTCTCTCTTACAGTGAGCATTGCGACTACGATTATGCGCCTGTGATCGTCTACTCCCAACATCCCTCCGCAAGGACAGAACAACTCCAGGATGACCGCGTCTTCTGAGAACCAGCCCGCTCTGGCGGAATCTCCACAGAGCATAGCACTACATGTGCTATGTCCATCTTTACCTCCTCCCAATCGATTCACTCTCCACGACATCTCCCCGTCCATCACCATCTCCTCTCTCAAAGCTCGAATCGCGCAGACCATTCCGAGCGAACCATCACCTGAGACTCAAAGGTTGATATACCGGGGAAAGCCCCTGACGAACGATGCCGTAGCACTGAATGATGTGTTAGAGTCATCAAATGTGCGCATACTCTCATTTCCATGCTCCCCATGTAGTTGGCAGATACTAACAGTGATGCTTTCCCAGGATACCGAGTATTCCATACACCTCGTCCTTCCTCCCGCCCCAGCTCCCCATGCTTCAACTTCTGCCCGAGCTCCTGCTCCAATTCCGCGGGGAGCCTCAGGACATCCCGCACCTCAAAGTCCATTCGCATCGAACCGATTCACGCCGCAGCACCTGCCCCACGGACAAGAGATCAGGTATCGAGGCCCCGCATTGCCCGCGGTTCCACATGAGGCGGAGATCGGACTTGCTCTGAGGCGGAATATCGAGGCTATTCGCCGACAGATTGACATGCAGGAACGGGGCGGACCGTTGGGAGGCGTCGCGGCAGGCACCGCGGGGGCTACTTCCACGACTACGACAGCTTCGTTTGCTCAGCAACCTGCATGGCCGCACGTAGCCCCCGGTCTGTCGCACCCAGGACACTCGTCCGTCTCGTCTGATTCCACATTGGCTTCCGGCCTGTCGGGGACAACCAATGCGAATAGTAATCTCCCCGAAGAAGTCCGATTGCGCCTACAGATCCTCAGAAACCAGATTGCGTTTGGCGAAGAGCAACTGAACCGAGGGGTTGCGCCCCCAATGGACCATATCATTCGCATACGTACACAATTGTTCGCTCTGCTCGACGACCAATATCAGAACCCACATGCTGAACGTGACGGCTCGATTGAATCGTTGCTTACTCGCGTCTTCAACATCTATACCCGCGCCGATCAGCTCCGCGTCTCGCAAGCTCGAACCATGTCCACACCTGTTCTATCTGGACCTCCCAATCCCACACCAGGGCAGGCTCCTCTATACCTCCTCTCGTCTCCAAACGGCTATCAAGCCTTGGTTGCATCTCCCCGCGGCGCAGAAACGATGCAGTCTTCTCTCGATGCGCTCCGAGCCATGCACTCCCCAACTGGAACCTCGGCGCCTCGTACGGGTGCCCCGCCGGAAATTCACAACGCAAACGCAGTTGTCATGGAGAACATCGTCCGACAGGCCGTACTCAATCAGCGCCTCGAAAATAACGGACAGTTGAGCTTCACGCGCAATCTCCGACGCATGTGGCTATTTGTGCGCTTGTATTTCTTCTGCTACATGTTCAGCGAACCGGGCACATGGTCCCGCGTGGTGTATGTGACTCTGGCCGTCCTCGTCTCGCTCCTGTCAGAAACCGGGGTCCCACAGCAATTGTATCGAATGCTTGTGGCGCCAGTGCAACGACACCTGGAAGGACTGGTTCATTTCGCTCCGGACGAGCCGGCCCCAGCACCATCCGACACGCAGTCAACTGGCCAAGAGAATGTTCCTCTTGCTCAGCCAACCGGACTGCGACACCAGCTGCGACGCGTGGAACGGTCCTTGGCGCTGTTCATTGCAAGCTTGGTTCCCGGCGTGGGCGAGAGACAGGTGGAAGTGCGCAACGCTGCAGAAGCGGCCCGGAACGCAGAGCGTGCGAGAGAGGAAGAAGAGCGGCGTCGACGGGAGGAGGAGGAGGAGGAGGCCACCAACGCAGGCACGACTGGTGAGGCACAGACACAGGCTCAGCAGAGCGGCGAGAACGAAGAGAGAGAGACGGGCGAGAACGCACGCAACACGATACCCCCAACTGAGAATTAGCCATAGCGGAACTATTAGACTTGTACTGAGTATACTCGGTGATTTGAAACTTGAGTTCATGATGTATTGATAGTTGCGATCATATTTCCATACCGCCTAATGCGGCAAGATATCTAGTCTATTAGCGCAAATATATTTACTACAGCCTGAGTGTACTAGTTTATCCCCGATGACATCCACATCCACACAAAGCCCCTTCTATCTATAACTTACTTTCCCCCAAATCAGTCTCAACCGACGACTCCACACTAGAAGTCGGGGTAGCCGACGGCCCAGCCATGGGGCCCGTATCAAACGACTCATCACCATCGAAGTGCCTATACCAGCGAACAGTTAGCAACCAACCACCATCCCATACCAAACCAAGACAAAACCAATAAAGAAGAAGAAAAGAACAGAACAGAACATACCATCCCCTCTCCGCCCCACCACTCAAAAACCCACAATCCCCATTGCTCACACACTCCCACCCCCCAGCAACTCCCTTTCCACCCTTCCAATCAGGAACTTTCACCCCTCCATCTAGCAGTAGTACCTCCGTCCCCGGCGCAAGCTCACCCCCTTCCCTTTCCCCTTCTCCATCCTCCCTAACACCCTCCCCTACCCTCCTCCTGACAAAGGTACTCACCCCCGCCGTATACACCTTGAAATCCTCAACCGAAGAATCCCCCGGCATATCCCCCGTCAAGGCCCGTCCCATAGCGATCAGCGGGGCTGCATGCGAGCAGATCAGGATAGCTTTGCTGGTCCGTTGAGCAGGAGGGAGTGATTTCTCGATAGCGGAGATCTCCTCGTCGACGGAGGTGATCAGGGCTGAGAGGGTAGTTGCGACGCGGTCGTGGAGTTGGGCGATGGTTTCGCCGCGGGTGGAGGGGTGGAGGATTGGGTTATAGGTCTGTGAGTTTTGTTCATTGGATGGGAGGATGGTAGGGAAGTGGGTGGATAGGACTGAGGCCGGTGCGGGGGTCGGGTGGTGGAAGAAGGTTGTTGGGCCGAACCATTCTCTATGTAGTTTTATGATATGGTTAGTATCGGCTTTTGTATTGTTTAGTTGGAGTGGAGGGAGGGGGCAACGTACCCCAGGCCTGGTTCAGTGCGGACGGTTAAGTCGGCGTTGGTGTCGATTGCGGGGGGTTCGTTGTTGGTACCGGGGGTGGTGTTTGCCTGCTGCTGCTGCTTCAATGCTTCGACGGTGGGTTGGATTGTCTGCAGACATCGGTAGAATGGACTGCTGTAGATGCGGAATGGCTTGGGGGATATGTTGTCGCTGGTGAAATGGGCGGCCAGTTCGTGGGATTGGCGCACGCCGTGAGAGGTTAGGGTTGGGTCTGCTGGGTTACCGGTTGGAGTAGGGAATTGGGCGTGGTAGGTGCCGGTTTTGTAGTCGATTGTCCAGTTGAGGCGGTGCTGGAGATATATTGTTAGTGTTGGGGATAGGATATGGAGGGGGAATGATGGGGGGTAGTGTGTGGTGGGTGCGTGGACTTACGCCATGGCGGGTGAGGTATATTGTGTCTAGAGGCATGTTTACAGGACTCAAGTATAGGGTTTGGAGAAGATAGGGAGTGAGTGAATGTAGTTGTGAGTTGTGCCGGTTGAAGATGGTGTTGATAAATGGATAAGGCAGATGTTGCGGGGAAACTTGGGGCGGCGGTCAGACCTCGGCCCGGCCAAGTCTTAGATCTACTCTGCAGCTAATGATTACACTACTTGCACATGTTGTAGAACAATAATGATGACTGGAATCAGTTCATTCGCGAGATCACTCGATCAATAACTATCTAGACATCTCTGCCGGGTATCGATCCAACTCCGCCAAGCCACGAGAGTTCATCCCTCGCACCACAAACTAGATCCTCGCCATCAAAAAAAGGCATCCAGGGTAAACTTTTTAGTAGAAGAAACCGAGGAGCTTGCCGGCAACGTGCTTGCGGCGAGCCTCCTCGTGGTCCATGATACCAGCGGAGGTGGTCAGGACGACGTAACCGAACTGACGGGAGGGCAGGAGCTGAGTGGCCCACTTCTCGAGGTCACGGAGCTGAACGGGGTAACGGGGGTTGATGACACCGCACTTGTTCAGACGGCCGTTGAGCTGGATGACGATCTTGCCGGAGCGGTGGTCGTCAACCTCCTCGAACTCGCCAATGTAGCCTGAAGAAGGAGAGATAATCAGCAATTTGTTGCGGTGATTTAAAAGTTAACCAAACACAGAAGAAATAAAAGAGTTCCGGAAACTTGTAAGATCGCCGCCATGTTGTAAACAACACTTGTCAATATCTCGGGCACTTAAAGGGCGAAAGCCGTGGTTGGTCTATAACCGTCGCCTAGTTATCAACCCGAATTTTTCTTCGTCACCTCCTTGACGGATCGATCTTGCAAGTGCCCGGAACTCTTCTTTTTCTTGTAGCGTTTGGTATTGCGGAGACATGAACATACCGTGCTTCTGCATGACGGAAAGGAACTTGATGATGACCTTGGAGGAAGGGCGGATCAGGACCTGACGGCGACCGCTCTTCTCGGCGTTGTTGATGGCGTTAAGCGCATCGTTGAGGACGGAAGTCTTGACCATTTTGACGGTGTAGAATCGAGATTCTCAAATCGAGGAATCGAAGGATATGAGGTATCTAAATATTTACGATGCCCAGTCCTCACACCATCGGTGAGGAATTGGGTCCATAATAGTCAGCCACCAGTAGTCCTCGAGCGCAAAGAGTGCCCCTTTTGCATGAACAAGGGTTCTTCAGCCCGTGCCGTAGTGAGGAAAGCGTATCACCCGGTCCTCCGATCATCGTATGCTGTCGGTTACTACACCAGCAAGGTCGAATATGCGGATTTCCATGGTGATTGCTCCCTCAGACTAGCTGGGAGGCTGTAGAATAGGGCGAAATAACGATTGATACATACCTCGAGGGATGTGTCGACGACGTCGGTAAGATCGAGTGTAGGAGGAAGAATCTCGCGGATCTTTTGGAGGTGAGAAGTTTTCGCTGTGCGGCCGCTAGGGCTGCCGATCCGTGCCCTTATCAGTCACGTGTTTCTCACCGCTTCTACTGATGCCTCAGGCAGAAACGTGTTTCTCGGCCTTTCGTACTAAGAACATCAAGTTCGACTCTCATGAACAATTTCAGTAGGAAATAATTTCGTTAGGGCTCTTAAAAATTTTCGACTTCATCGTATTTACTGTGCAGGCCGGATATTTGACTCGTGCATAATAATGTAATGCCACATCCCATATCTTGGGCTTTGATCACCATGGTAATGGACTCGGGTATGAATACAAGTCTATCCCGACAATCACTCGGTTACGCATTACTATTTGCTCTCATGATTTTCTTGCTTTTTACCATTCTCTATACAGGTCTTTTGGTAGGATGAGGTGATACGTGGAGCAGGGTCAAGGGATTCGTGACAGTGTTTCTCAAAGGGGGTTGGTTACATGACTTCTCGGGCATACATGATAATGCTAAAGAACCTCTGTCTAATTAAAACTGATGTGGGGGCGCAAAGATGTGGCAAAGTGGATAGTAATAGTAGAGGAGAAGATCGAAACAAAAAGGCCGGAAGGAAAAGTGCAAACATGCATTGCGAGATGTCATGACAACAGGGGTCCGAAAGCAGGGGGTTCGTGCCGGACAGAGGGCCGAGGTGTTGGGGAGGGGAAGAAGGGGAAGGTGCGGGGGGAAGGGGTAGGGGGTGCTGTAAAGGTGTCATACATCGGTGATAGGGAGAGGGTCGTTGGGCAGGGATGGTGATATACGGGTCGGTGGAAACACTAGCCCTTATGCGCTGATTCACTGGGCACAGCCTAGTGAACCCTAGGATTTGAGCAATCAGTAGCACAATGCGACTTGGGTTCCCGTGTGGGGACGGATACTCGGGGGAGCAGCAACAGTGTCGTTGCTACCCTGAGAGCACCAACGGATGAGGTCGTCCTCCTAGGGGTGCGGTCTCGGAAACGAGCACCTGGGTTTGAATAGCAGCACATAGCAGCGGCTTACGCCATAGCAGCGGCAGTGGACATCGTGATTTGACGCTTGACCTGCTCACGAGTCCACCGGGCGGTGTCAATGGTACGGGATCCAAACTCCCTGTTGGTCCTCGTCTCACGGACCAGACTGGTGACCCAGTCGTTGCGGAAGTAAGCAGCAAACTCGCCGTTGGGGAAGGCATCAGCCAGATCACTAAAGCATGTTAGTCACGGGCCAGAGGTTGTGAGAGTGAAGAAAACCTACCCAATAACACCCATGGTTGCCCTCATCAGACCCTCGCTGCGGTTGAAATCCTGGGAAATGGTGTGGAGCAACTGGAAGATGTGATCCACGAAAGGATGCAGTTGGGAGACTATTATCACGTTAGTGAAGTGTTCGTTGCTACATTTATGAAAATAACGTACCCTGAGGCTTGCCCTTGTAGGACAGGAGGATACCACCCCAAGCATCCATGATACCCTCACGCAGCGAGACAATGTACTCTTGCATCTCGGGAGTCACGTCGTTGCTTGCCGTCACAACAGAGGCCTGGTGAAGAACCTGGGCAACAACGTTGAGGTAGGTGTCGAACTGGGTGCCAATAGCCTGAGCAATATCACCGAACGTCTCAAGGATGGCAGGCTTCAGCACGTTGGTCGAGGACTAAAGCAGTGTTAGCAGTTGTGTGTTTTCATGTAGCGAAAATTGGTTCCTTACCCTGAGGATTGTGAGAAGGGCGTTCATGAAACCGTCGCAGTAGGGCTGCACCCGCTCGTTCAAGGCACGCGAAATGTCGCTGACCAGGCCGATGGCCATAGAGCAAAGACCAGGCTCTTCCTGGTTCTCCAGGGCCTTGTACAGGAAGGGGGCAAAGTTGTCCATGTATTTAATGAAGTCATCCTCCAAGGCACCAGCAATGGCACCGATCGTGGCGAACACAACATCAGGGACACTGGACTTGGGAGGAACAGTGGCCAAGATCTGAAGCATGACCTGCATGATGCGGTCGGCTTGGGGCTTGATCTCAGTCTCGAGTCGTTGAACGACAGCCTAGAAAGTCAGTCACAGCCGGAGGAATGCCAGACATGGGATAAACATACAAGTACAACGCTAGTAATGCTGGTCTGCATCTCTTCCAAGGTGATGCGGTCCTCAACGCTGACCACTTGTTGTTGCATGGGGATGGTGTGCTCCAGGCGCTGAAGCATGACGTCGGAGAGGTTGCCCACAAGGGGAAGGCTGTCATTGGCAGCGTTGGTCACAAAGGAGTTGAGGACCTCGTATCCAGCAGTGCGGAGCTGGTTGTCTGCATCTTGTCTGCAATAAAGTTAGCGCCTGGCTTCAGAACAGTGACATGGGGATACAGTATGGACTTACCTCTCAGTAAGAGCAAGGAGCGACTTGACACTGTCCTCAAAGTGCTTGGACAGAGGGTTGGTCTGGGCACCGTAGTCGCCGGCAAAACGATCGGCAACGTTCATCAGGGCCCAGCAGCAGGAGCTGGCGATCTTGGGAGAGCTTGCCAAGCCGTTGAACAGGCAAGTGATGAGGGGTTGGAGGTGCACGTCAGGGTCAAGGGTTTCAGAGCAGAAGTCACAGACACGGCCAAGAGCGTAGGCGACCGAATCACGGACCTGGATGGAGCTGTCCTGCATCATGCCGACGAGGACGGGAAGAGCCTGCTTGATGAGAGGCTCCAGGACCTTGGGATCGGGGCCATCCATGATGGCGCCAAATGCCGCAACTGCAGCATCCCTGTGGCGCCAATCCTCGTTACGGATGTTCTCCTCGACAAAGGTCAAGACAGGCTGGATCACATCACCCTGCACGCATTGAGCGTAGAGCTGCAGGGCCTGGTAAGCAGCGCGAGAGACGTTGTACTCGTCGTCCGTGGCATCCTCATCCTGTCTGCACATAGCCTGCAGGAGGACGGGAACGACTTCCCGGCAGGCGACGCGGGCGAATCCAAAGAAGGGGCGGACCTCAGGGAGACCCTCTGCTTGTGCCTGTTTGACTCACAATTAGCCACGATATCCACAGCATAGCTGTTTTCAGATGGACAAGACTTACCGCCGCGTTGTCATCCTCAATAGCGTACTCCTCCTCACAAACGGTGCACCAGAATTCAATGGCCAGCTTAGCCACATCCTCCTCCTCGCTCTTCATTCCCATGATCGACAGGCCAAACAGAGCCTTCTCCATGTAGAAGCGCATCTTATCATAGTAGGCGCCCATAATACGGTTCAGGCAACCGAATGCGCCCGCCTGCACACGCAGATCATCGGCCTGTGTCGCTTCGCACACCACCTGCATGATGTAGTTCCGCTCACCCTCGTTCTCCATGTTCGACCGCACGAAGTCAACGGAATCACTGAGAGCCTTGATGGCGGCGAATCGGATGTCCATGTTCTGCTCCTCGCGCCGAGCACCCTGAACGACGGCGGTCAGGATAGCATTGGAGTGGGCAGCCAAGCTCTCGCGAAGCTCAGCATCCTGGGACTCGCAAATGAAGCCGATGGTGACCAGGGAGGCCTGCTTCAGTTGATCGGAACCACTCGCGACATTCTGGACGAGGATGTTCATCAGCTCCGGCCACTCGTTCCGGGGAAGTTCGATAGCAGCGATAGAGACGATGAATTGGGCGGCAGACTGGCCGGCGCGGCCGTCCTTCGAGTTAAGCGTCTTGAGGCCAAGCTCCTTGACCTGCGCCTTGATTTCTGGGGTAATTTGCTGTAGCCATTTTGTTTGGACCTCCTGGAGCTTTGCGAGGTCTCTGTAAGTAAAAGCGTTCTTCAAAGCGATACCGGCAGCGGTACGGATGTGGGACGCGGAATCTTCGTTTGCGAGTTCCTGACCGAGTGTGACAAGGTACTGGGCCTAAAGTCCGGCAAAAAAGAGTCATGATTAGTATGCTTGATACAAGACCAATTACTAGCAACGGGACACAAGTCCAGAACTTACGAAGTCAACCTCCGCCGCGTGGGCCAACTGCTGTTCGGCATGGGAACGGGCCGCCGCATCTATAGTTGCCAGCAAAATAGCCTGTTAGTGATTTTGATGCCTTAAATCTAATAACATACTCTGAATACAAGAAGGGGCGGGAGCAAAAATTACCTGGCGAGAGGGTACTCTCCAACACCTGAGTGACGTTCATGTTGCCGTATGCGGAAAACCGAAGCAAGCGATCACAAGCGAAAAGGACAATAAAAAAGAGAAGGTGAAGGAGCTGTTCTGACTCAAAGAGAAAACAAAGCAGACAGAACCACTAGGCTATTTAAAGACCGTCCACAACAAAAGAGTGGTAGTGTGGACAGGAGATGGGGGATTATCTCTGGAGGATGGAGGGCAGAGGTTGTTTTTGTGGATTATGACGAGGCATGCACCAGGTCTTCCGGGGGGGTAGAGGAGGGCGAAAAGACGGCGGTGGTGCACGCCAGGACCAAGCAAAACAAGAGGAAAAAAGAAAGCCCCAGGGTCGGATAAACAGACACGGACGGGGGGTAGGATAAGAAGACAAGGATGTCGAAGCTATGCGGATTGAGGAGAGGGGAGAAAAGGAAGTACTGGGGGGAGGAAGTAGCAAGAAGCGAGAAGGAGAGAG